GTAGATGTTTTATTAAACAAGCCTTTCGACCGTGTGACGTCGACAGCCTGAAACTGGCTGGCTGTTTATCTGGCTCTAACTTGGCATCAAACGCAATTAGGGGATTATCGTATCATGTTTCAAGAAGGGTATATCCTGTCTGCAACAGCTAAGAGAGTGTGTATTGGATATATCAGTTTATAAATTGTTTAATGTTTTTTAAATTCTTCAATGGTTGTAAATCTCATGTGATTTTAAAACCTCGGTGTTCTCATATAAGCCTGGTTCATTTCAACTTATATCTAGATATACATCCACTAGATATAATTTCGTTAACCAGTCAATTATGTCTAGATAAAGGCTTAAGCCGACATTAGCCTGGTTCACGTCGAACTTTATATCTAGATATACCCTTCTTGAAACATGATACGATAATCCCCTAATTGCGTTTGATGCCAAGTTAGAGCCAGATAAACAGCCAGCCAGTTTCAGGCTGTCGACGTCACACGGTCGAAAGGCTTGTTTAATCTTGTTCAAACATCTACTGTATTTTACGAACCTCTAGTAACTAGTGGTATTCATTCAAAAAAAAAATGTAAGCTACTGTAGAGAAGGTGTGAGTTTCCACTACCTAACCTAGCCGACCAGTATGAACCAACGACCAGTGCAGCAGCGTGTTCTATCGCAATCTAAGTGGTAGATTCTCTAGGCCCTGGCCCTAGCCAAAATATTACAAATAATTTCTGAAAACCAGACTAATGAGACTACTTCGATGCTGCTGTTAGCATTGTTGAAGTACGTTGTTGCCAGCCAGAAGATGATAATGGTGGTACAATACAACAAAGCTGGCTTAGATGCCTACGTTACGTAATCGTGTCCTTGTAATCCGAGCCGAATTTACCGTTAAGCAAGTTAATTTACCGTTATTCTAGTAAAGTTAAGTCACTTAACTTAAGTGACTTAATTCCTTTAACTAGCTATAATTGAGTGGTTCACTTTCACTTTGGAACTTTAAACTAGTTAAGTGAATGTATATCTAGATAAAAGTTCGACGTGAACCAAGCTTTAACTTTACTAGATTAACAGTAAATTAACGCTTAACGCTAAATTTGACTCGGATTACAAGGACACGATTACGTAATATAGGCATCTAAGCCAGCGTTGTTGTACCACTATTATCCTCTGGCAGGCAACAACATACTCCAACAATGCTAACAACAGCAGCAATGTAGTCTCATTAGTCTGGTTTTCAGAAATTATTTGTAATATTATGGGTAAAATCCCAGTAAACGTCCGTTTTACGAATAGTCAATATTACAAATGACCTTCGCCCTTTGCATCATCGACCAAGTAATAACGTCAAAAAGTATGATTGCGTACATTTTTCAACGTGATAATGTATATTTTTCTTAATAATAAAATCAGATTTGTTGTATTTATTTATTTACAATTCAATCTTTTCCATTTCCGCAATAATAATCGGTATTAATTCAGTTTCAACGAACTACCACCAACGCCAGTCGTTAAAATGAGCGCACATGTTTACGATTTTAAAATTTTTTTTTAATAAATAAAATTTTAATATAAAAAATAAAAAAGTGTGTTGAAGTCAGCAACTTATTTGACACCGCAAAACTAGATTTTTGTGAAGTGCATGTAAACAACACAATTCAGCGATCTAAAAACTACAAAAAAACACGACAGAAAGGTCCATAAAGAATTCAGACGTTTTAATGAGAATTAAAACAATATTTTGTTATATGGGAGAATGTTAAATGGGAGAATTAAATTTAGCTAGAGCCTAGTAATCTACTACTATTGTGGTAGACCATGCTGCTGCACTGTCGGTTGGTTTATACCACCTGGTTGACTATATATCAATGGCAGAGGATAGCTAGGCTAGGTAGTAGAAACTGACACCTGATCTACAGTAGTTTACAAATTTGTCAGTTTTTTTTTTTACGAATACCCTTGGTACTAGAGGTTCGTAAAGTACAGTAGACGTTTTATTAAACAAGCCTTTCCACCGTGTGATGTTGACGGCCTCGAGGTTGGCTGGCTGTTTATCTGTCTCTAACTTGGCTTCGAACGCAACTATATAATAATAATAATAATATATAATATAATAATATATAATATAATAATAATTGTACCATATTTCACTATTTAGATAGACGGCTTAACTTCGACGTGAACCAGGCTATATTGTAAGTTTGAGCCAATTTAGAGGATTAATGCGAATTTGATGCCCACAGTAGTAATTGGATGATGGGCCTACTATGACAACCCTATTGTAAGGTTTAGTCAGTTCAGTGGACTAATGGGAGCCTGCTGCTGACCAGGGACGGTGCCAGGAATTCCCCAAGGAGTGGTCCAGCTCCCCGACAAGTTGACAAGTGGTCAACACCCCCCCCCCCAAAATCGGTAAAACCTAGCGCACACCCCTATCCCTAAAATTTGACAGCATAGTGAGGCATACCTGAATTATGTTTTCGGTAGTCAATATTTTATTTTCCTTAAAGACCTTGCTGGAAATTCCCCGACAGGTGGTCCAGGTGGGCGTCCAGAGGATCCTGACGAGGGTCCTCTTTCTTGTGGACCCCTCTAGCGGTAGAAGTAGTGAAAATATTTAACCCTCAAAAATAGTAAAGAAAGCAAAAACATTAAAACAATAAAAATGGCATATATATAAAATGGCACTGCAGTATGACTGTTAAAAATATTCGTCACAATTATGCAGTTGCATCTCATTTGTACATGTCCCATCGCGTTGTCCTCCATCGAAACCGTTGACTGTTGGCTTAGTGTATATACCTGGCTTAATATTTTTAACATGTGTTCCAAATAGGATACATCAGTGATTACCACAACAACAGTTACAGTGCCATCTTCTGGACCAGTCACAGCTGCTACTCACATTGAAACAATACCATCACTTCAGCAGAATTTCCAAAGGCCCCAACCACTACAGACTCGTTCAAAGCCCACTCGAGATCATATGAAGTTGAATCAAGGTACTGTATTCCAACACGATATTGCAGTGCAATATGAATGAATATACCCAGTAGATTGAATAAACGACTTTATATACCTCATACATAGATTCTAGGCATCTGATTGTTTAAGAAGCAGGGCAATAGAAAGTACTATTCCCCTCAAAAATAGTACTATTCCCCTCAAAAATAGTATGTACTGTACTTTTTTTACCTGTCGCGATGTGCAAACTGTAGGCTCGCTACATCGCGCAGCTGACAGTAAAGGGGACTGCGACCTCTACGACAAGATTATCCCCTGACCATGTCACGGATCAGCGAGTAGACGATAAACAAATATGGAGGCTGCTCGTTTCGAGATGAAGGAGGACTAACCTAGGCTTAGCATTACTTTTTGATGAAGCCGATAGCAAAAGCACCAAAAGACAAATTAAATATGTCTTATCAATATTTGACAAATATATTGCAAGACGATGTGTGCTGTTGAAATTGAGGAAATAAGCAAAGAAGAGCTAGACGCATTATTTGATCGCCTAGGCCTAGCTAGTCGAGTGGTAGTACTAGGCCTCTAATATAACAGGCTAGGATGCAAGTACATTTTTAGGCCTCGTAGAAACTATGTATGAGGTGTATAAACAGGGTTTTAGCTGGCCAAAAACAATATTTAGCAATTTGGCTAATTCTGTATGAAAACTATTAGCCAAATAGAAATTTGATTAGCCAAAACAAAAGAATATAAGGAATTACAGATTTAATTCCATTAGCTTTTTGGCTAATTTGGAATGAAAATATTTAGCAGAATTCAGCTTTTAATATGGATTTGGCTATTTGGCTATTTGGCTAATGAACAGCTTAAACACTGATAAAACAAATATTGACTGCCCTATATTCGGGGAACAGTGTCATCTGTTGGCCCTCGGTGATGTGGAGACTGTAAACTATCTAGATAGGCTACGGTCTCCACATCACCTCGGGGCAATAGATTTCACCTCATGAGCAGTCAATACTTGTATAATAATAACTAAAGTGGTAAACATGGGTCCCCAGAAATTCAGTGTTAAGTACACACTGAATTTGAGAGCAAATTAGTAGTAGCAGCGATGTAAAACTTCTATTATAAACAGGATCTATAAATTAATTACTCCACAACTTGTGCTGTTGATATACCATATAGGTATATCTGCATGACATAGGTATCTCTCTCTCAACCAAGTATGGCTGATGTAATATTATGGTTTTTTTCTGGTTCTTAAACTATCATTGTTCCTTTTGTCTGTCATATTATTGACTTCTTGTGGAGAGGCACCATGCGCCTTTTCCCTTTAATGGATACTTTATAAGTTTTCATTATTATTGTTATTGTTGTTATTATTATTATTATTATTATTATTATTATTATTATTATTATTATTGTTATTATTATTATTAGGTCATGATGAAAGTGATGATTCTTTTTGGGGTGCTCCTGAGAACCAGCACCTGAAAGCAGCATTGTATAACTCTCCAGCTCCTAAATCACCAGTTCTGAGTCCACAAAGTGCCCCTTCACAAAGTCCAAAGAAGCCACAACGTCCTCATACGTTTGTAACTAAGACTGTTATTAAACCAGAATCCTGTAATCCTGTAAGTAAACTTCTATTGTATTTATAGCAACATCTCCCAATTGCAAACCTCCCAAATGCAAACTCTCTATTTTGCAAATGCGATTTATGGAGATGAAGTCTCCTAAAACATTTAAAAATCTACAAGATCTAATCTAATTCAAAGTTGTAATAAAGCTCTTGTGATGCCTACATAGAATTGCTACAAGCTATTATTGATTGTATGGAAATGATCAATACGTGGCTTTGCCCACTACTGACTATCGACAAGCCTAGAAAATGGATTTTTCGTACATTTGAACTGGATTCACATTGCATCTGAGCCAAATTTTGGACCATGTTTTTGATGCGCTGGATGCCAGCATTTTTATTCTTGCATACTGATTCGATTTTGTTGTTGGTTTGGTAGGCATTTTCTTTTAAAGTTGGGATCCGGAGGAAAAACTAATTTTTCTAACACAAAACAAAGCATATTTGACAAAAAACTCGAAAATGATTAATGAGATACAGATTTTTGAATATTTAAAAACTGGAGGAAAAATGTGGGTTACAAACCTTTTTTTCCCATGTTTTTAAATATTAAAAAATCTGTGTCTTATAAATCATTCAAAAGTTTTTTCATCAAATATGCTTTTTGAGTCTTGGAAAAATCATCGTGTAAATTTGTATAGCGCCGGTATCTATCAGACAAGATACTCATGCTTGATATGTGGACAAGTAACACAAACAATGACATTCTTTGCTCCTAAGAGTCCCTTTGTGTCTATGCTACCTGGTAACCTGGTACCAGCAACTCTCTTCATCCAACACAGGTTGTTTGTACCATTACACCAGGGTATCACCTTACTCATCTTGAATGATGGACTGGGTTGTTTAAAGTGCACACGAGCCATTGCTCAACCACTAGAACCATAGGCGCAGATATTATGGTTGTAAGTTCCGGCGCCCCTGCCTTAACCGAAGGTTTTTCAACATATCAAGAAATATTTTTCTTCCCGAGCCTTCAAAATTGGGTCAACAAGTTTTTTTGCAAAGATATATATTTTGTTTAAAGTGCCTCTGCCACCTATTCTGACAATTTCTATAAACTACAGCGTGTTTATATTTATAAATATATTATAAACACAAGTGTTGGTCATAAATTACGAATAAAATTGATTTTGTACTAAAAAAATGAGTTTGAAGTGTCATTTTTGTAAGACCTTAGAAACAACGAGGTCACTCAATGACATCATTGGTGACCGACAAAATTCATCCAAGCGCGAAATCAAAACAAACACTGCGACGGCCTAGCGGAGGAAGAGAAAAGCAAGCATATTGGTATACGGAGAATATTTCAGCTCATCCTCATCGTATGAAGAAACAACAGATGAGGAAGACAATGACGTTGGCTGTTGTCCATACCTATTTATATGAGTCTTGGTATGAAAAAGAAAAAAATACAGAAGATAATAATAATATTATGAATCCGAACTTAGAGTAGGCCTAGGCTAGTTGGTGTGGGAGTGAGAGCGAGCCTCTCGTCGTATCGATAGATTGTTTACGTTACTATATGCTTCATGGTTGTGCAATAATACCAAAAGTAGGAATGAATCACATATATTATTATTATTAATGATTATTACTTAAAAATGGCATAGGGCCTAAGCCATAATTTTAGAGAGCTTTGATAAATACGGTGTACGTCAGAAAGAAAGCACATAGCTACCACCACATCCACAAACTTTTTCTAGGCCTCAAAATGCGCAGCGGACTGGGCTTGAATTGGTGTGCACCTGATCTATAAATGGGCGTTTCAATCCATGCATCCTGTTTATTTAGAGATAATTACAGACGTGTTTGTTGAGAGACAAGTGCGTAAGTCAAAAGTAGTGTTGTTGCACTGAATAGTACTACAATATTTTATTATTATTTAATACTAGGCCAGGTGCGTTTGTACCCGTCATCACCAATTGAAAAATAAATCCGTCAAAAGAATCCAAGCACAATGAGAAACCAGTCATTGTAGCAAAAATGGAAAAGATCGACATGGCAGGCCAATGTATCACTACTATCCACCTTGGTTTTCAAGCATTTGTTTATCATCAGTGTGTGCTCCATTTCTAATACCGATCAAGTAATATGGTGCCAGGGGTAATTCCCCTGGCATTCGACACAAGTTGGAAAATTAAAGGAAATGAAAATATTGTATGTTAATATTAATAAATATGTGAAATTTTAATAATAATAATACAGTAATACTGTATTATAGGACTAGGCCTAGGCTAGGAGGAGGTAGGCCACACTTAATAACAACTTATAAGGTGGCCTTTCGCGAGTAAATAAAAAAGGTACAGTAAACGAGGTGAATTCTCAATGAATTATAAATACATTACTGTTAGGCCTAGACTACACCTACAACAGTACCTACATTCATGTATTGTATGTATTGTTTGTTGAATTATCGTTGTTTTGTAACGTCTTTGTAACGTGTTACAAAACTAATTCCTCCATGCTTATAACATTTAGTTGTAGGCCTAGGCCTATGTAATATATTTTAGACATGCCTAGGCCCTACATAGGCTAGCATAGCCGACTTGGTCTCAACGTGCATTGAAACATCACAATAAATTTAAAGTTGTAAACCTTCACAATTGTCTCTTTTGTCGTTACTCACTTTGGAATGGAAAAATCCGATATTCTGTTTTTTTAGGTGTAGGTACTGTACGTACGGTATCATAAATCCTTATTCTTCCATCATAAATAAATAGTTCATGTGTATTAAAATGGATAAGAAGAGTGTTCGTGCGTTTTATACATGTGACAGTGTGTGTGCGCGTAACAAACAAAAGTTATAATTTTGTAATAAAGCGCAAGCTAGAAAAACGTATTTTTTATTCAGTCATTCATAGCGCAAGGACAAAGACATGGATATGCCTAGGTAGATATAGGCTACATATAGGCTCTAGTAGAAACTTGAACCGTGAAGGCGAAATTTTCGATCTCCCTGGCCTTCAGCATCTTTTACCGAAACCGCCGCAAATTCAAGATTGCTTATCATCAACCAAAAAATGGGATGTGATATTTTTTTTTTGCTTGCTGCATAGGCCTAGACAGAAGACAGTAAAAAAAGGCAATTAAAACCAAAAAACAAACAACCTAGGCCTACGCTAAATACGGTACTAGGTCTACGGACTTTTGCAAGATTTGTTTAAAAGATGTTCAGCCGTAAACAATGAGAGGTACCTGTAAGTGATATTACTTATTGAATTACAGTCTGAGTCATAGGCCCACCAGGCTAGACCTAGCCTAGGCCCAGGTAGCGCGTAGCTAGGCCCCCTAGGTCTATCTATGAAATAAGGCCCATGCCCATAGGCTGCTAGACCTGTGTGCAAAAGGGGCCCAGTGAAGAAGTAGAATTGCTTCTTTATCCCTAATCAAAAGGCTATGCTTTGGGCTACAAGGAAGGGCGCACTCGCCTATGGTAGGCTTAGCCTATTCAGTCTCATCTGTTATACTACTAATCAAAACAGAAAAAAAAATGGCGGTACATGTAAATTAACAACTGCAACTGGGAATTTGAATTAGGTCTTGGCCTATAGGCTAGAGGGGCCAGGTAAGTTAAGACCACCTCATCCCCATCATTGATTAGTTTAGGGCCTAAGCCTTATAGGATGCGAGGATCCCGAAACCTGGTACTTAGCATAGGCTACTTGTTGTTTTCTTTGCCGTACTAGGCCTCAGGCCTAGCCTGGATGGATTCCTTTTTCTCACTGGACTTGATCGTCTCTGATTTTTAATAGTAGAGACAGCAAGATCTCTCAGAGCTAGGCCTAGTTTGCATTGCAAGCCCAACGTCGTTTTGAATCCACATGAAGTGATCATCCACGAAGTGAGCACACAAATTCTTTTGACTTGTGTTCATCCGGCCCATGAAAATTTGAATTGTAAAATTGACAAATTTAACTCAACAACGTCTTTTACTATCTTTAGGTAACGTAAAATATTTACTTCGTGTGCACTTATAACCCCCCCTACAACACAATTTACTGGCATATTGTGTAAAACTCGGGAAACTATGTAATATACTAACAGCCAAGGGTAGAAGTTCTGGCTTTTCTTCCTCCGCTAGGCCACCGTCGCAGTGTTTGTTTTGATTTCGCGCTTAGGTGAAGTTTGGCAAAGTCGGTCACCAATGACGTCATTGAGTGACCTCTTTGTTTCTAAGGTCTTTCAAAAATGACACTTTAAACTCATTTTTTTCGTACAAAATCAATTTTATTCGTAATATATGACCAACACTTGTATTTATAATATATTTATAAATATAAACACGCTGTAGTTTATAAAAATTGTCAGAATAGGTGGCACAGGCACTTTAACTAAAAATTAGCCCAAAGTTTTTGTACCATGTTTCAAAAGCCACTTTTCAAGTCTTAATATTTTTGATATCCTGGATTTTATCAACCAAAATTGAATGACTAGGCCTATATAATCAAAGCTAGATGTGTCTGTGATATGATATAGTATCGGACCTTATCAAAATGCATCAGATGACTATACAGTCAACTCTCCCAATACCGACCACCATTTTGGACCAACACTTTGACCAGTTTCCGGACTGTCCGGTTTAGAGAACGTCATGTTTACCCACCTTGACTTCCTGGCCTTAAGTCGATACAGACAGGTACACCACACTGTACTGTATACCGACCCAAGAACATCCTTTAAAATGCATGTTTATTACTTTATTTTTATATTATTTATATTGTTCCACCAATTTTTTTTTGTTTGTCAAAGTGTATTATCAATAAGATTTACACATATCAAATTAATACATACGTATCATACTATCATACAGTATAATAGGCGGAAGACTTCGTAGCTACATCGTTGTAGCCTGATATAGGCCTAATCAATCTACAAAGCGAACCTACAAAGCAAAAGTGTGTTTATTCATATTTGCAGAACGACTGCTGTAGCTTACTAGAATAAACAATTTATTGCTGGGTTATTTGTGAATGACAAGCACAAGTTTCGACCGTATAGGCGGAAGACTTCGTAGCTACATCGTTGTAGCCTGATATTTTTCAATTACAATTATTTTACCTCTTTTATTCTGTCAAAAATTATGTCCTCAATAACAATACACACTTGTGAATATTTTGTAGCAAAGCATGGAGCTGTTTTTAAAAAAACGTACACTTGAGTCTTTCCTTTCACTCGCTGTTAACAACAGGAACTTGTTTGTACTGCGGTATTATTTTTTTTAAATTAATTAGCCTGAGGCCTAGCCTATTTTTTAATTACAATTTTACCTCTTTTATTCTGTCAAAAATTATGTCCTCAATAACAATACACACGTGTGAATATTTTGTAGTCTTGATTTAATAAGATAAATACAGGACAGTTGACTGCGGTTTGGTTTGCATAAATGTATACATGTGGACCCTGTATTTTACCTTTCATCAGGACCGTAGTCCCAATCATCTCATTTTCTTTTGTTTCCTGATTGTCTGTTTTTACATAATTTATAACTTTTTGATGTGATTTTGTAGGCCTACATTTTTATGTTAATTGAGCATAGTTTATTACTTGATTTTTTTGATATTGTGAATTTTTGATTTAATAAAAAATTATATTAATAGTTAAATATTTTAACAAATTAATTTTAATGCAATAAATTATTTTATGTACAGGTATATTGTAAAACCAGAAAATTTTGCATGCATTAAACTTTCGCGAATTTCGCGAATGGACCATTCGCGAAAATTTTATGCCGCAAATAATTTTCAGGTCACATGTTCTATGTTTCAAAAAAGATCGGTAGAACACTATCTGATCAATGTGAATCTTGAATCAGTTTCACAAAGGCGATTTTGGTCATTATAAATCACTAAATTACACCAAAAATTAATTTCAACTTTTTTAAAGATGATAATGAACAATAAATAACTTAATAGAATGTATTTCAATTATTGAATAAATATTCTGATGTTGAGCTCAAAAAATTCGTAAATTCTAGGCCTATTCTAACCTACTCAGTAAGTATACTGATCAGGGAGGTTTTGATCATCACTGCATATGATTGCACATGTGCAGCCACTGCGCAGTGTATACTACAGGGATGATATTTTTCCGATTTAAATCGGATTTCCGATTTTTTTAAACATGAAATTGACTTCTCGATATTATGTCAATTTCGTGGAGTTTTTTTTGTTGGGGGGGGGGTAAGGGTGGTATTGGTGGTGGAGGTCAGTTTGTCGTGTAATCGTTTTTCATCTTCCTCTCTGAAGTTATATTTAAAATATACACGCAAAATTCACCATGTTGGTGGCGCTATAGTGATATTAATTAACTGACGATCGGTTCTCTTGCGTTACTGCCATCAAAGAGTATATACTCTATGCTGCCATGTACTACAAGCGCGTTACAGTAATAACATTTCTTATTCATCCGTTGTTCGGACCTATAGTGTGTCTATCGAGCTTGCGAAGAAAAGAAAGCATGCGTCATATCATTCGCCGCCCGTTATACCGTTTCGGAATTATATCGCTCTCGTTTTTGCTTACTTTTGTATTTACTTAATTCGTTAAATTAATTAAACCATGGCTTCGCTAAAATTTGTGAAGCGGAAAGATGAAGGAACAGGGAAGGAAATAGAATAGATTTGTTGTTTAACCCCGTGGCCTAGCGCAGCTAGGCCCATTCTCTAGGCCTGACATCGTCGCGGTGCTAAGAGGCTTTAGCTCTGGGACGCACGCCTCTGGGACAATGTCTAGTCTAGGCCTAGGTGGCGTCGCGAGGGCCTACAGCCAACCCCCACCCCTGGCTACGCCACCTCGTTCCTATTTTTTTTCTACACCTGAATATCATCACTGATACTAAGAAGTTAAAATAGAAACAAATTTTCGTACATTGACATACGACGATGTTCAGTCATCATGAGTCAATGTGTTTGAATCAATATTAGGCCTACAGGAATAGATATTGTTCATTGTAGGATGCTTGAATACCATACAAAATTTAGGAATATCGTATGATAATGTATGTAAACTTGTGTCTTAACTGTGCCTGGGATGGCCAGGTCCTAGCAGCTGAGGTAGGCTGCAGGCTTATGGTGCCTAGCCTAGGCCTAGCTATTGTAGCCTAGACAGTGGCTATAGGCCTATCTAACCTAGGCCTAGAACTCACAATACAATATTTTCAGCTATTGTATGGTATTCCTCTCATGAATAAAATTTTGGCCGTTAGCGATTCACAAAAGTTTCTGGTTTTACAGTATACAGTATTTGATTTTAATGTGAATAAAGATACCAAGATCATCATCAGATGAGATAATAAAAGCTAAATGTGTCTATGGTATAGTATCCCAAAGCTATGCAACTCCCCAATGCCTGTCTGCTGTAACATTAAAATATTTGCTCTTGTTCTTACAGTGTGGCAAGAGGATTAAATTTGGCAAATATGCATTGAAGTGTAAAGGTATTTTAAATTTATATGTTGTCTTTCCTCATCAGTTTGTTTCAATTTTTTTTGTTAGTTTATAAGTCACGGCTGATGACACGCTTTTTTTTCTTCTGCCTACTGTCCATAATCATATTCACATACTCTCGACCTAATTGAAATCAATTACTTTTGTTGTTGTAAAGCACATATAGAAGTTTGATATGCGCTATGTAACAGTCATAATAATAATAATAATAATAATAATAATGTCTTTATGTGCATGTATATTCATCAACTTATCCTTGGTTGCAACCATAGAGCTATTAAACAACTAGAGTACTGACTTGGCAACGAAGCAATGCAGAGTTGTGTATGTGTACCATCAAAGATGGCTGCTGTAGGAAAGCGCCACCTTCAGGCTTAGTATACATATTAACCATAAATAAGCCCTCTGACTAATTATTATTTCATCTTCTTATGGGCAAACCTAATAGTTGAAGGCTTTGGCCCCAGTAGCTCTTTATTTTATATAAAACTTTAACTACTATTAATAAATTATTAACTAAGCGGAGTATCTGATTTAAAAATAGAGTACTGAGGAATGAAAATTTAGATCGTGTACATTACACCCATACACTGCAATGCACATCGGGTAACTTAGCTGTAGTCAACTTTTGTGTGTAAATTGAGGGTGCCATTGAAAATGATGATGCTTAGGCAAATTTTCTGTGGCAGCCATCTTGGATGGTACACACACACAGCTCTGCATATCTTGGACATCAAATATATTGCAATTAGTGCTGTAGTATTCTTATAACTATGGCTACATTCAAACCTGAGAGATATGCCAGGCATAATGCTGGACGTAAATTAATCCATGGCGTAACTAGCAAAATGTTTAGATTGGGCGATTAATGTAATGTTAGCGTAAGTATTTGTATTCGTAATCATGCATTTTATTGTTACAGTTTCCTTTTTACATCTAGGCTTATTGTGATTGGTCAAATCCTGGCCAAGTTCAAAATCGTTGATGCATGACTGTCATAACTTAGTGGTGTACATTAATCTGGGGTCTGTTGGGGTTGATTATCGTATGGATTATGTGTTAATGCTGGTGTTCGCTACGCTGCGCACAGGTTTACACAGCCCATGAAATTAGGAAAGAATTAGGTGGCAAAAATTTGCCAACCTTAAATTCTCTGAGGTCGGCAGCAATTTTTTACTACCTAGGCCTATATATAAACTACGATTTTTCCGAATGCTCGACCTTACATCGTCATCTACAGATTGTGATTTTGTTAATTTCTCTAAAATCAATATATTGCTGGTGAAAGAATGGTCGTACTTGTATTAATTTAATAGTGTAGCATAATATTATGTTTTACACAAGAAAATCGTCGAATAGATAGCGTTCGTTTTATCGTTATCTTTGGCATGGGAACTTTCGTAAAAGCTATGATCGTATCATCACAGCATCACAGGCTGCTTCAAAACTGCCTATGCATGTCCATGCGCATGCCCAGAATGATCTATCAGGGATTTCCCACACATGTTCAGTACTTGTTAGTAGTGAAGTCACGATGCGATCGTGATTGCATTTAAACGGACGGTAGGATTAGGTCTAATATGTTGAATTTTGTTGTTTTTAGATAATGAACATCATTTTAAATATTACAATAATATTGTAAAATGAAGACAAATAATAGATTTAGATAAGCATTACGATCTACGCGGCCCACGTGGCTTCAATTGGGTGATGTTGTAGGCCTTGGCTGGCTAGCGTCATTCCTAGTCCCAGCCTACGAAACGACTAGGCGAGATTGAAAGACAAGACAATTGTACACAAATCGTATGTACTGCATGCCTATTAGAAATAATTATTGTACAAACAAATCTGTTTTATGAACCACCAATTTCCTTGGTTTGACGAAGTACATGAAATTTAGTGTCTGCTATAGCCTGTTTCAGTAAAAGTTTTTGACTTTTCAAGCAGTTTTTGAAGCAAAGAAATCTATGCCTAGGTCGGCAAAACCTGTAGCAATTCTGGCTCAGCAATATGGTCGCCGATTGCCAACGTGAAATTCGTGGGCTGTTTACACCACTCGATTAACAAAACAATACTTGATTTGAGTTTTATCTAAAAGACCAATACCGCTACTGATTAACTGTAGGTAACTAGGTATAAAACTCAAGTACTAAGGGCAGACAAGCCATTCTGATTCAATATTTCGATCTTCATTTAGAACATCATCAGAAATGTCTTTTCGACAGCCAACAATTATTTAGGACCACCACATTTACTTGGACTGCTTGGCCTCATCAGCTCAGCCTAGCCTAATTGGACCTGGTCAAATTCTTTTTATTCTTGAAATCCATCGAATGTTACATTAAACTAAAGCTAAATCATATTTATGTTTGATAAAAACAACTTTATTGATTGAATGTACATTGTTTTCATATCAATATTCGGTGGGGATTCCCAAAAAGGCTTAACCATTGCCTACCCGATGAAAAGTTCACTTACAACATGCGTCGTGTTAAAAACATCTATACCCCACACTGGAAAATGGCACTGCAAATATAAAACTTTGGTTCCCTGACATAATATTCTTGGTGTTCATAAGTCTCCGGTTATAATTAATGAAATAACATACAGAAGATTTGTTGTTAAGGTTACAAGTTAAATTTTATCAGTCAACAAAATCTACCTTTTGATTCGGAGGAATGGATAGATTAGAACTTACACTAGACTAAATCGAGAGATAAAGATGCAGCTGCATAGCCTAGAAACATTATGTGAGTAACTGTAACCGTGCACAATCTATGTATGTAACTGGAATATCTTTGTGATAGCTAATTCAACACTATTTCTTTGAAGACAAATCTTTAAATGCCCTCTAAAGATCATATTTTTTTTTTTTTTTTTTTTTTTTTTTTTTTTTTTTGTGTTTGGGAGGGGGCGCGGCCCAGAATTTGAGTGGGCGTGGCCCGCCCATCAGCTCGAGGCCACGCCCACTGGCTTCCATTTCGGATGGCCTATTTCGTTTTTCTGGCTAAACTCCTGATTCCCAGTAAAATAATGTCATCCTTCAAAATAAAATAAAAATTCTGTAGTATTCTATCTACCACCATGTAAAATATAGGCCAATAAAGTTTACTATCTCTTTGCTTTTTAAATCTCTTACTTTGTATACTTAAATAAGCTTTCAGTTCATGCTTTTCAGACAATAGAATTATTTCCCCTGAAGCTTGGAAAATTAAAAATAATATTTGGTAAACAGGGATGTAGCTATTGAAAACTGAGGGTGGTTGTTAAAATTTTTAGGGTGCGTTTGGCATGAATGTATGCGTACTTTGGTGCGAAGCGCCAACTGAGCAAGGGCCGAAGAACCGAATGGGGGGGGGGGGGGATGGGTTTCAGAGGGGGGAACCTAATGCCGAGATTATGATTATGATAACTCGGTGTATTTTATTTGCTAATACACTGTAAAATTACTCCATTAATTAGACTAACAAAATTATGGCAACAATTTCACATGTATTTCCTATCCTTTATTATTTAATATATCTTGTTGATTTTCACTAGTTCAAAATATCTACGACTGGTGGTGGGCGACGGTAACGATCTCCTGATAGTAAGCTAGGGACTACCCCATTTTCAGTCGTGAATTACAGCCTGAATGCAAATTAACATCGACTTGTTCACGAGTTTTGCTTCACTAAAAGCTAAAATGAAAAAAAATAGTAAGATCCATGGTTACAGTGGCTATATCGTGGAAAACAAACATCGCTCGTACAACTGCGCCCTGCTTTTACACATCAATTCTACCAAGCTGTCCCCGCATTCAGCAGCCCTCTGGGCTGCGGAATGCCTCCACGCAAGGCTTTATTTAGTCAGAGAAAATTAATCCGGCTAACACTTTAAACTGTTAATTAACCACCAGTATGCTTACCAGCGCTACATACGGTTAGCGCTATTCGGGCTAGAGAGAATTAGTGATATTATAAACTTACCGCAATGTATTACACACGGTAAAATGATTAAAGATCTTGGAATCATTGCAACAAGTAAATCAAAACAATGACATGGCTGTTTTACTCAACGTCGTAGATTGAGCATGCTGTTCTAAAATGACATTTGTGGAAAACAGTCTTAACCTTTGACATCAATTTTTTTTTTTAACTAGCCTGGCTATGTCAAAAGTATGTTGCATGAGAGATAATTTCCAGCTTACCCCCACTGGAAAAATCGAATTTCACCTATGAGCGGTACCCCATGGGTTTTTCATGGTTTTTGGCCAGGGCAGTGTGTGCTTGTGATAGATGCCAATATTTAGTGGCCGTTCCGTTCCCAGTATGGGGAATCCCCGTTTTTACGTACTTGGTGGTCATGAACTTTACAGTGGAATACGTAAAAACTGTCCAGCATACACCACGTTTAAAATGGTTCACTGTACAATACAATCTGCAATGATTACTCGTGCTGGCGGTGTGCCTGGGCTTGCAAACTTTATTATTTACAGTAAAGTACTTCATATATATAGTAAAGACAGAACCAAAGTTATGATAAAAAACAATAGTCTAGGCATCGTTAGTTTGTCGGGGAATTTTCGGCTACACCCTAGACTGCCTATACTAATTTGCAGACAGACAACTCGTGTTCTGGTCCGAGAATCCACTGACGTGTTTTAAAAGCATTATTATTGAGCAAAAACTGTGCGTGATTTTTAGGGTGGGTGGGAGGGTTTGTATGAGGCTGGGTGGAAGACCATAAAAATGGCTTTAGGATGGGCGCCAGGCGTCAAGGCTGGGCGGCCAGCCCACCTCTGCCTTGCATAATGACATCCCTGGGTAAACATTTGTTTCCAAGCCAACAGTGAAAAATCACCACATATAGGATGGACGCAAATTATATATAAACTCTTAAATATACAGGAATACAAGCAAGGCAATCTAAAAATACATTGTGAAATGTTTAAAACTATTTTAAAAGATATAAATGTTACTATTTTGATTAAGCAAAGTATATTTGATAAATAATTTAATATTATAATTTGTAATGTCTTTGTTAATCGTTTGCTAGACCTAATATTACTAGTTTATACTTTGTAACAAGGTTGTACGTATAGGCCTAATAATAAAGAACCTCCTGAAAACTACAAGCTTCGACCAAATCATTTGCAAAAACAAGTGGTTTTTTTTAAAGACCATGCCAAGCTTCAAAATAATTTTGACATTTATGTTTATTTTAATATTGCTAATACAGCATAAAATTCATTTTTTGTATCTTGTCTTCACCCCCTTGCAGTATGACCAAGAACAACGTTATTTCACAGTTAATACTGTTTTGTTACTGGACGTATGTTTGATTAAATAATACTACATGGCTGGATGGCCAGATTTATATTACATTAAATTTTGATTAAATTTTAATGTTAATTTTTTGGAACTATTCTCAATTTAAGTTTCTTCTTAAAACTCGCCTTTTTCCATAGTTAATATTTTTTTAGCACCGGTAAAGAGCACTACATAAATACTAAAATATTTTTATTATATAATTTTGATTGCAGTATACCGTACATTGCATACCTTTCCATAATACCGTACTGTCTAGATATTCTTATTGTTTTATTGCCAGACGAAAGCATAACATAACAATTATACAGAAAATGAAAAACAAGACTGAGCTGGTTGGCATCATTGACATCATTTTTATTTTACATTAATGTCACAACCCATAGTTTGAATACCAGTTTACAGATACAGATACACTATATTATTATTCACATTGTGTTCCATTACAGCTACAGTTCAGTGTTAATAAAGATAATAATACCCTTAAATATAAAAATAATTACTGTACTCTTCATGATATTTCCAAATTTGTATGCGCTATGATGTTTTTAACTATTTTCATATTTTATATTTATGTAATTTATAGTAAAGGTTATTAGGAATATTCTAAAGCTTGGTACTCACTGCGCCCGATATTTGTCGGCCGACGTGATTCTATGTAGAACGCACCACCATGACGCGCGCGCAGCAGATTGTTCTGATGGCCACCGACAATCAGCAGAGGGCGTCGCATCGTCTATCGCTCACAGATAGCGGATTTGTGGTTATACGTACGTACGTTGTACGTACAACGCATTGAGTGCGCAGCTTGAGAGAACAAATAGTAATATAATAAACAGTATTCAATAGTAAATAAACCATCTTATGTACCTAATAGATTGCCGTGCAGTTTGTCATCCAGACTGTAAGGAGATGGTAGCATTGCCCTGTGTTCCATCAGCAAGTACTCCAGGTAAAAAATTATCCAACACCTTGGGAGACTATGTACCAACTTCGAGTCCTTTGGTTCCAGCAATAGTTGTAAGTAATAATATATCATACTTATTGGCTTGTTTTGGTACAATTGTTATAATTCCTACATATATTTATAGTTGAGATTGAATTTACCTAGGTCAAGTACTGTAGTAGTTTAGGGCTGGTACTGGATAAAGTATATATTCATGTCATAGTCAAGTCCACAGCTGTTGAGATTGTCGCCTTAGCGACAGTAATTTCATCTTAAGGAAATGTTTTCAACCCTCTCTATTGTTAAGGTTTCTCCTTAACTCGATGAAGAAGAATATGAGATGACGATTTGGTAGACTTAAAACACAAAATTTATTCAAAATATGAATATTTCGTTTTGACACATCCTCGGGTCTTCACAAAATTTACACTGATGCAGTCCACAGGAGTGGACGAAATATTTGTTTCAAATAAATTATTTTTCAAAAATATGCAAACTTGACTTTTGTTTTCATCATAGTCTTCTACTAATATATATATATATATCTGAGGAGACAACACAAATTTGGTTGAGACAATATCACTTCAACATAAGTGATCGAACCTTCGCACAATATTCGGCTTTCACGTAAACCTAGAAGGTTCATTCGGCGCTTTAGTGATAATCTGTGCAACACCATGGATTCAGTTGTTCAAATTAACTGTCAGCTTTCCGAAGGAGAAACCAAACTTCTATCCCGAGGACTCAAATTTTGCCCAAAACTGAGGCAGGCTGACCCACAACAACTATCTTTGGATCTGGAAGCTTTCTTCCGACGTTTAAGATGCCGTGAATTTTTCGCCGATTCAGACGGCAACACCACGGATAACACGGGCAATGTTACTAAATTCAAACCTAAAAGTACCTGGAATCCCCCTAAGAATCGTTGCCCAGCTTTAGAAACTTTCATTCAAGCCATTAAGGAGGACGTTAAAAACCACACTCCTAGTCCAGATTTCCGCGACAATCTCACAAAAAACGAGAGGCAGGCCATCGCCAATTTGCGTCAGCGTGATGATATTATCATCAAACCAGCTGATAAAGGCTCTGCCACTGTCGTAATGGACATTAAATTGTATGAAGAGGAGTCCTTAAGACAACTAAACAATCCTCTTCACTAATTTTCTAAGGAAGTGGAAAAATCTGTATTAAAGATGGTTAAAAAAGGTTCCATCGATCCCAAAATTGGACCCCATCTCATCCAGGTCGATCCGGCACCAGGACGTTTCTATGTCCTACCCAAAATCCACAAAGCAGGCCATCCTGGCAGACCCATTATTTCGGGCAACGGTACTGCTACAGAAAAAATCTCTGAATATGTGGATGACTTATTGAGACCATATGTTGTTGCTCTCCCCTCGTACATTCAGGACTCCACGGACTTTATCCGCAAAATTAACCAAATTTCATATTTACCTAATAATACTGTTCTGGCTACACTTGATGTTTCGTCATTATATACTAATATCCCTCATGAAGAAGGTGTTAATGCGTGCATTTCAAATTACAAGCAAATTCGGGGCAAAACCCAATCTAAAATGCTTGCATGAAATTCTCACTTTATACTATCTGGCTTTTTCAACCCTCACTCACTCCTGTCTCTTATACACATCTAGATGTGTATAAGAGACAGGCACCAAAATGGCTCCATCTTTTGCTAACTTATTTATGGGACAATTTGAGGCCAATTTCCTGTCCCTACAGCCCAAGAAACCAGATGTTTTGTTTCGTTACATTGATGATATCTTCATGATCTGGACCCATGGTGAAGACAGTTTGGATACATTCCTATTGAACATTAATTCGGCTCATCCCACAATCAAATTCACTGCTAACAAATCCACAAGCAGTGTAGATTTTTTGGACATCACCGTGACCATGGAAAATGGTGCACTTAAAACAGATCTCTTCCGTAAACCCACGGATAAGCATATGTACCTGCTCCCTAGCAGCTGTCACCCCCCGCACTGTACAAAAAACATTTCGTACAGCCAAGCATTGCACATGAGATGCATTTGTTCTTCGGATTTAGATTTTCAGAATCGAACAGAAGAACTATCCGGAGATCTCCGGAATAGAAATTATCATCGAGGACCCATTGAAAATGCTATAAAAAAAGCAAAGGACATACCTCGTGCTCAAACACTGACGTACAAACCACGTCAACGATCGACCAGAGTGCCACTGGTCACAAGCTGTTAAAGATCTAAAAGAGAAAATCCTACGAAGCAAAGGAAATCCACAGCTTGTAAGAATAACTAAATAAAACCTCATAATTTAGCAGCTATCTCAAAATTCTGCATACTTTCTTAATGTTAACAATTTTGTATTATTTTCTTTTTTTATAATAGGAGAAGGTGCCTGACATTCATGTAGTTTGTGGGACATTGAAAGATTTCCTCCGTCACCTTGATGAGCCTTTAGTTACATACAAACTTCACAAAGCATTTATGAATGCCACAGGTAAGCAAGGTTTTTCAAACAGCCCATGACCAAATACTTTCAATAATTTTGAATTTGTATTAGCTCTTTTGGTGATGGTGATTGAACAGTTGAATCGGAGCATTCCCGATTGCGTTGGGGATAGCTACAGAGTTCAAGGATTGCAGTGAAAATGCTGTAGCGACTGTAGCAAATTTTTTTAGAAACCAGGCTTAAGGCCCAGTCCTCCGTGGAGAATGGCTTGGCCTTTTGTGACCGCATTGTGCAGGAGGGATTAATAGGACCTGGGTGGTGAACCACCTTGGCAACTAGTAATGTTGCCGCAATAATGCGGTAACCATTTCTGGCTTGCTCTGTCTGAAAGAGTCTACTCGATATTGCAGCAATCAAGCCGCCATGTGCATTTATGCATAAAAAACAAGGTTAAAGTTGAAAACAATTGCGCGGTTGTATTTAAACTGCAAATATTACACCATTTTATAGGACCCTTTCAGACAGAAAAGCGCAAGTTTATTGCAATATTGTGGTAAAGTGTGAAAGAGTATAGACCTGTTTATGCAGGCATGCTTACCGCAATATTGTTGCAACGTCTATCTGAAAGGGGCTTTAATGTCAAACAGTCTGAGGGTAGACCCAAACTGGACTAGGCTGGTAAATGTTAAATTATTACATAATTATTATTATTATCATAATATGTAAATTGTTGTTAAGTTGTGTATGATGTATCAATATTGAAATGTTCAAATTAAATCATGCTTTAATTGATTTATATTTGACAGAGTATTCAGACAATGAGGATGGCATTACTGCAATTTACCAAGCTATCAGTGAGTTGCCCCAAGCCAACAGAGATACCCTGGCATATCTTATACTTCACCTTCAAAGGTAATCAAATTCAATTTATAAATGATTAATAATTTTTAAAAGTGTTATTTTCCCAAGTAATCAATAAGTTGTCTAAACAGACAGAGGCACCAGTGGCATATGTTATACAGTAAAACAGTAAAAAACTTACATACCTTTCAGGACCAAGGCCTACGTAATCGGCATGTCATAGTTTTTTTTTAATTATAAAGGACACATTCTTCTATCAGATAATCACCAATCACCAGAGCATGAGGTCATTATTAGGCGAAATTGTAGAAAATTACAACATTCACTGTACATTATATAAACTGAGAAAAAGTGAAAGACAATGTATTTGAGACAATTGGTACCCACAAACATGTCATAATGCTGCATTAATTGTAGAAGGTTCACTCTATTTTATAAAAACTGGGAAAAGATATTAAGAATTTTAAGGTTGCATTGTACTTGTAGAGGATTATTTACAACATTCACTGTACTTTATATAAACTGGGTATTATAAGGAATTAATCAGGCCTAGAAATTTACTTTTTAGCCATTAGCAACCTATTGCTAAAATTTGCTAGTTGTGAAAAATGTAATTAGCAAAATGAGTTGCTCAACGAGTAAAATATATTGATACCAACCCAACATATTATTTTTGGAAAATAAATAGTTTGAAACTAACACATGATGTACTATAAATTTGTGAGTTAAACGTTGTAATATAATATTTTCTGTTATTGTGAGTGTAGTACAAATAACAAATATCCAAATGAGTATAAGCAATTGAGGGATTTAGCGATGATTGTTTACAGGCAGTCACATGATCTAACATGGGTATACATAAAAAATATTACAGTTTGATAGCCTAGTATTAAAAGATTCATTCATTCATTCATTATGGTTTATTCAATAAAAATTGACATGGCAACATAAAACGTTGAATTGCGTCAACTTACAAAAGATTCTCATAAAAAAGTTACTAAAAAAACACGCAAACACGATCACAAAAGGGGCATTGAGGCAATATACAAAAGATGGCAAAAATACAATATCGAAAATATATTATTTACAATTAAATTAATCATCAGATAATATATACACAATAAAATTACATTAAAGCAAGTACGACAAATATACAAATTCAAAAATACATTATTTACAAATTGGATTTATCAAAAAATATACAAATTAAGAGGGGAAAAATTAAAATTCAATTTATTCATTTATTAATATATTTATTATTTATTGCAACAAGTTTAGATTCAACAATTCATTTTATATTAATTATTGTATATTGCATTATGGAAGTATATAAAAGAATAGTATTGCAAGGGAATTACTTCAATATACAGTAAAAATTTACCAATCAATAAAAACAAAAATAATTACAGGCCAATATAATAGATGAAAAAGCATCAACATATTTCAATAAAATTCATTATTAATTAAAAATGGCAAAGTAGATTTTCTAAAACGTTCGGTTCTGCAGTTATACTTAGTCAAACAACTACCATTTCTCAGATTTCTATTTGTTGCTGTTATGGGAATACAGCATGATGTGATACCAAAGTAAAGTACACGTTGTTCTCTGTCTGTCAAAAAATTACAGAACCAAGGAATAATGGATTTCCTCACACCGACTGACAAAAGCTTTTGAATTAGTATTGGGTGACTTATTCTATCGAAAGCCTTGCTGATAATAAATCATTTTCCAGTAACATATGAATAACGTCACAGGAGATGACAAATGATTGCAATGAAAATCGTAAAAGTTCATCTTGAGTGTAGCTATACATCTGTCTCTTATACACATCTAGATGGTAACAAGTCCTCATTTAACCACTTATTTACAAAATGTTCTAATATTCGAACAAACAAAGGGGTGAGTGAAATTGGTCGGATCTGATCCAGTCCCACATTGCCTTTCTTTTTTGGTATTGGAATTACAATCGCCTGTTTCCAACGCTTTGGTACAATACCTTCGGAGAGAGAGAGGTTGAAAATATGTGTAAGTGGTTTGGCTAATTCTGGTGCAAATTCCTTGATGATAGCTGGAGGGATTTCACCTGGAGGAACTGCTTTACTACTTTGAACTTTGGTAAGTTGCTGTCGAACTTCGCTAACCAATAACTGTGGCGGTGGTGATTCTGCAGGAAGAAATGAAGATAATGTTATGGTTGCAAAAACAACCACCCACTGTTAGCATGAGAAGTAGGAAAGGCAATACGATTGTTCGAAATAGTGTTTATTTACTTATCCTAGTGTTCTCCCTGGATGTATGCTTTGAAATTTAAGCGATTCTTCATAAACCTTAGATGGCCCTAACATCGCCACGTAGTTCGTGGTTCAAAGACCATCATGCATACCTAACCATGCCGTAGATGTGCAGGGGCCTATGCCTAACATTTGGCGAAAAATCTCAATGTTTGCGGCCAGTATCCTGTACAGCATACCAAATCATTAACACACCATTCTTAAGTTTCATTTCCAATCAGTTTGGTATAGTTTACTGGGAGTTATGATTATCCGGCCGCGATAGCAATCTCCATGTAAAACACCACTGTGTCAGCGCATTGTTTATACCCAACACCCAAGTTAGGTCATGTGACGCCAATCGCTAAATCCCTCCATTGATTTCTATACCTTATTGCAGTTTCAGAACATTTACAATGTGAAAAAAAAATCACAGATACAAAATAAATAAAAAATAAAATGGAATAATACAGTTAAACATGCCTAAGTCAAATAATTTCTTATTTTACGTGCAAAATTGTTGTTTTCCAATAATAATTAACAATCTTTAACAACGTAGTAAAATTAACAATCTGTAAGTTAAATTTTATCTAAGTCAAACAATTTTGCAATGTCATTTCGGATTCGACTTAGGCAAGTTCAACTGTATATTATATACTTAATTTATTTTTTTTAAATAAATTAATTATATAATATATTCAATTTTGTTTAATGTACAGTATCTGTGATTTTTTTTCATATTTAAGATGTACTTCTTATATATAAAATAAAATTTATTTTTTATTAATTTTATATTATATTATTTCAGTAAAAATTCCAATAAGAGGGACACAGTTATTAAGTACTCAACTGATAGCTAAAAATAAACACGGGAAAACACTTTTTATTATATTTTAGGCAATAAGTCAATACAGTACAATACCATCACTATCTTTCTCTTTAATCTAAAATATGATGATGATAATAATAATAACTTTTATAATACTTATATAACATAAAAGGATAACTATATTTTTCTAGTGCCATCATCAGTGTGAAGTATATCCGATTCACTATCATAATTATCTTTATCATCAAAATAAAATTGATATTATATAAAAATTGCAGTCCTACAATGTTACCATACAAGTGGTATAGTTAATAATATTATTATTATAATTATGAGAATATTTATATTGCTATAAAAAATTAAGCTGCTAGTTAAATTTAATATAATGATGATAAAAAAAAGTACTGCTATAACATGAAAGGATAACTATATTTTCCATCACTATGATGTGTACGATATGCTGCCTATGATTTCTTTTTTAATAAACTTAGGCCTAAACCTTTTCTCTATGCCTAAAGCTAATCCAGCGACGCGAATTAGCCAAAACGTAGCAAAACATATCGGTAATCTATGTGCTTTAAGTAAACTATCTTTAAGCAAAATAATCTCCTATATAAACAACAAAATACTAGCATTACCATTTGTTTCGTTTGAATAATGAATGACAGGAGTCAGCATAAATTAATCGGTTTGCTTTATTTCAAACAAGCACCAGCAGTCAGGTTCGAAAACCTGTAATAAACAAAACATTCAAAGAAATGCAAAAAATAAGCTAAACATGCATATTCAAGGCCACTAAACACTGACGTTGGCGGCGTCCTCTAACTCCAGCTACATGTTATACTCTCGCGATTGCAATCAATGTATTTTACTATAGCATAACAAAATCAATAAATAACAATTAACTCTTCTATAGTTATTATCTGATTAATCGGTACCACATAAGGTATCACTAGAAAAGCCATCAATCACATATGTGAGCTGGAAACTTAAATCGTAAACATGAGCTAGTATTTGTGACCCAAACTCACAAACGGGCTGTAAACTCGCACTGCACTATATTGAGAAACAAGCCTCAATACCCAGAATAGGGCGTAGAACATGAATTTTTTTGTGAATTTGGTTTTTGTGTAATAAAGTATAACTATTAATCTTCTATTCCTGAGGTTTGAGTTTAAAATTCCAACTCTAAGAGGTAAAATTTAGCCATTTTCGGATTGGAGCTAATGAAAAATGAATAGAAAGCATTTTTCTCAAAACTTGATTTAAGAAAGTTGATAAGATGACAATTATTCAAACGTTCATAACTTTGCTTCCAGACACCCGATTGAGTTCATTTTACTGTCATTTTAAAGTAAATGATATGTTCTATGCCATTATAAGATAAATTCATTTTGGCCTGAGGACGAGTTTACAGCCCGTTTGTGAGCTTGGGTCACATTTAGGCCTACACATTGTACATCACCATCTACACACGTGATAACAATTAACTCCGGCCAAAAGATAATTAGCCCTAGACTAATCCCGTAGGCTGAAACTAGTGTGGCAATAAACCTACGCTACCTCACCTTACAACAGTACGGTATTAACATGAATAACGGGAAAACATCTGTAACGTTCTATCTATATGAATCTACTATGTGTTAATTACTCGCGTCTAGCACCTCTTAACTTATACCATTATAAACGAAATCTCAATTCAACGTTAAGTTGACTCGGTAAACTCACTAACTACGGCTAACCCTAACCCCTATAGAAACACTGGGGGCGCCAGATATTAAATCAAATTTCGCACTCTGCGAAACACCATTTCTTTTTTACTTTTTCCAAGTCTGGAACAAACTTCGTAGTCCCTTCGACAACAACATACCCTTTGTACATGTGATTGCTGAGCATGTCATAGTTGACTGCACAAGCTTGCCCAGACTCGCTCTGCATGCTGTCGCTAGCAGGCTACTACAGTAGGTGGTGCTCACTCAGCCAGCTGGCCACTAGCGATGTAGATGATACATCAATTCTAGCGGTGGTCGTTTCGCCCCCCTTAGCCGTAACAATAGCCGATGCGCGAGCGATTAAGTTTTCTGTTTAAACTTTTCATTCATATTTTATTTTACCTAATTTGTTTTATTTACTAGTTACAAGATATTTTGTTTAGATATTCCAAATAGCAATCATTTTTTTATTTGCTGGTTTGTGAATGTTTACCTAGCAATTATGACAAACCTACTAGCAAATTTCGAGCCCTGATTGTATTTGTAGAAGATAAGTTATAACATTAACTGTACTTTATATAGACTGGGTAAAGAAATAGCATATGGCTGCATTGTAGAAGATTCATCAATTCTCTGCTTGTTTTTAATTAGAGAATGTATATTATAACATTTATCGTTTAAACTTAAGAATAAAGTAGACTAATTTTTGACTATTTTTTATTTTCTTTTCAAGGGTTACTGAATGTCCATCATGTCGTATGCCATCGGCAAATCTTGCAAAGGTTTTTGGACCAACTATTGTAGGACATTCATGTGCTGATCCTGAGCCAATGGTCATGTTAAATGACACCAAGAAACAACCAAAGGCAAGTAACATTTCAAGTGTAAAGTCTCAATGTTTCATTAATTTCTAAACGAGAACACAATCAATTAATAAGCAATTAATGTATCATACACTAGTGGAAGTTATTATAGTATGAAGATTAGGTTACTGCATGAAAGCAATACTCATCACTATCTAGGAATTAACTAGGCCTATCACAACACCCTATGAATAAACCATTCGTACTGCCAGGCTGGAAAAACCTACGTGGCCAGTGGTTGGAGGCAACATGAATGTCCAGGACGCATTTTGGGGAATAAAAGGGGAATATAAATCCTTGTTTAAAATGTGTTGCTTGATGTGTTCTTTAAAGGTGTTGTAAGCAGGTATGGTGGTGATGGTAAATAAAATAAAATGTTAGGCTAGGTGCTGGAGGCATTTTATGGAGACAAATTTCATAATTGGAGGCTCAGTTCCAATAGCCTTGCCGTAGAGATTATCTATTGATTAAAACAATCCGAAAGGTCCACTGATTAATCTCAGATAAGAAAGTATAATACATACTCCAAGTATTGAAATACACGCCATCGTGTTGGGATTCAATATTTCGACATTAATTATGTCATCATCAGGAATGACGATGATGACATTCCTGATGATGACATAATTAATGATGATGACATAATTAATGTCGAAATATTGAATCCCAACACGATGGCGTGTATTTCAATACTTGGAGTATGTATTATACTTTCTGATTAAAACAATGTACCAATAAATGTTAGATCAAGTGAAAGTTGATCCTTTCATTGTTTTTTTATAAAGTGCATTATCCAGACATGCCCGGTCGTCTGTGGCAGGGCAAATGTGTTTCCCGTTCCTTTGTTCGAGTCACCTAGGCAGAGGTCCGGGATTGCGCCAGGTGGTGATGGATGGTGACCCCGAAGAGTAGTTGCATCTTATTTTGCCTATCTTTCCCATCCTGTCTGGTCCAACACAAATAAATATACGTTAATGAGTAAATAAATAATTTAATTAATTAATTCACATAATAATGCGGAAAATGGCTACATGTACACTCGGCAGGTGGAAAACGGCGCCGCGAGCACCCCTACTAGGGATGGACGTGCGTCTAACAAAATGACATTATTATTATTATTATGCCAACCACTCCGATTTCAGTGGAGTTACTCCGATTATTTAAGCAAAACTCCGCACTCCGATTTTGGGTCGAGAATCTCCGCTTTTTACACATTTCGACCGGCTGAAATAAATCGCGCATTTCCGAACAGTAAAATTCTATGATTAGATAAGAAAAAGACCAGTCAATTTTGTCCTGAAGCACAGTGTATCTGTAACTGTATAATACCAGACCTGCCACTAGTTCTCCCGATCAAATGTAATTTTCACCCGATTTCACAGGCCACCCTCCCTCCCCCCAAAAAATACTACGATTTATGCATAATTTGATTGATTTGATCATTATTCAATGTATTCGACGTCTGCTTGCTTTGCAGTGCAAAAAACAAGCAGCCGTTTTCAATTTGAATGTCGCCGCCAATGATTTATAGTGACGTGCTATCTTGCATCATCTTTTGATTAATTCTGGAAACCTCCAGATTTTTTTATGATTCTTAAAAAAAAATCTCCAGATTCTCATGACCCAAGGGTTGGCAGGTCTCTGTAAACATAATTCATGCTCCATGGTCTAATGATTTCGGGTTACACTCTGTTCTGTATACAAAAAAGTAATGCGCGCTTTACGGTCTACTGATTTCGAAAAAAAAGCAAATTTCATTGGCCAATTCGCTGTCAGAGTTGCAATGCACTCTGACCTGTATAGCGGTCCACGGTCTAGTAAACCGTGAGTATACTAAAAAATGGAGTCCGATAATGAGAGCGACATGGATGTAGGCTCAGACCTAGGCAGTGCTCGAAGAATGAGCAGTTCTGTTGATGATCCACCTCCAAAAAAAAAAAAAGCTTAAACGATGATCCACCTCCAAAAAAAAAAAAGCTTAAACACAGGCAAACATTTCAGGCCAGTTACAAAAAAAGGTATCCTGTCATTTCGCAATCAAAAGTAGGTAAGGCCTACGCTAGGTGTGATTTGTGCAGCGTTGACTTCCAAGTGGCGCACGGCGGTATTGTTGACATTAAACGTCATTGTGAGTGAAAACTCCACTTAAAACATGCCGATATTAGGAAGAGTACTCCCAAGATAACTGGATTTATTCATGGTAGTAATGATGATTTATCAACCATACGAGCAAAGGTAACGTTTACCAATTTTCTAGTTGAGCACAATATTCCCCTTGCTGTTTCCGATGATGCTGGGAAATTATTCAAAACCATGTTCCCATCAAGTCCAGTAGCCAAAAACTATGGTTGTGGACATACCAAAACCAGATTCATTTTAGAAACGTTAGCTCATGAGGATTCTTCAGAAATTGCTGCAGCATTGAAAGATGAGCCTTATAGCTTGGCTACTGATGGTAGTAATGATTATTGTGATACAAAACTTTATCCTGTTCTAGTACGATATTTTAGTGAGTCGGTTGGTGGAGTAATTTGTGTACTTCTCATTGGAGGAATGCTCTTCATCCTCGACGGGCGAAAATATATTTAGAATAATGGATCGTGAACTAATGCAACGGGATATTCAGTGGGGTAATTGTGTCAGTTTTGCTACAGATAATGCATCAGTGATGCTGGGAGTACATAAAGGTGTTGTTTCATTTATAAAAAAAGAAGTTCCCAGGAATTTTTGTGATGGGATGCACATGCCATCTCATGCATCTTGCTGCAGAGAAAGCTTTAAAAAAGTTACCGATAAGAATTGATGAACTGTTGATCGATATTTATTACTACCTGATGAAAAGTAATAAAAGACAAATGGAACTGAATAGCCTGCAGACATTGCATGGAATGGAAGTACGAAAGATTTTGAAGCATGTTTCCACAAGATGGCTTTCTCTTGGCTTATGTATTGACAGACTTTTACAACAGTGGGAGCCATTACAAACATATTTGAATGGAGTTACCAAAAGTAAGGATGGTACAAGTAGATCTAGTCAAAGTACAAATACTTCAGGCAAGAAGGCTACCGAACACAAGGTAACTACTGCTACCAAACACAAGGCATTTAAAGCAGCTACTGCTACCAAACACAAGGCAACTACTGCTACCAAACACAAGGTAACTACTGCTACCAAACCCAAAGCATCTACTGCTACCAAACCCAAAGCATCTACTGCTACCAAACCCAAAGCACCTACTGCTACCATATCCACTGCATCTACTGCTACCAAACCCAAAACATCTACTGCTACCAAACAACCCAAAGCATCTACTGCTACCAAACCCAAAGCACCTACTGCTACCATATCCACTGCATCTACTGCTACCAAACCCAAAACATCTACTGCTACCAAACCCAAAGCATCTACTGCTACCAAACCCAAAACATCTACTGCTACCATATCCAATGCATCTACTGCTACTAAACTCAAAACATCTACTGCTACCAAACCCAAAGCACCTACTGCTACCAAACCCAAAGCACCTACTGCTACCATATCCACTGCATCTACTGCTACCAAACCAAAAGTATCTACTGCTAAGAAACTAAATGCATCTACTGCTACTACTAAACAGAAATCAACAACTACTGTCTCTGACAGAGCTACTTGAGCAAGAAACTCATTGAGCGACCCCCATACCAAACTTTACTGCCTGTTTTTGAAGCATTCAATTCCAATGTTTAACTCTGCCAATATTTATATGCAGAAAGAGGAACCATCTTAATTGAGCAGCTAAAAAACATGATGTTAAGATTTGTTAAGCCTATTTGTATATTGCAGGCAGATTGTGTCACGAAGGTAGCATATAAAGATGAAAATTACCAGAAAAATAATGATGAATTAATGGTTGGCTCTGAAGTAAAAGTTTACATTGACATACACAGAAGAGAACTTGATTTGAAAACATTTTACAGTAGTGTCAGACAATATTTTGTTGCTGCATGTGATTACATGTTGCGGAAATTTCCCTATAAGGATCCTGTTCTATTGAATGTTGATGTAGTGGACATCACCAATAGGGACCAGAAAGTGTTTTCTTCACTCCGGTTTTTCATCAAGAGGTTCCCATGTCTTTTACCAAATAACAGTAATTTGGATGAAGTGGAGAATGAGTTGAAATACCAAGTTGATTCACTACCTGAAGAGGTTTTCAGAGAATCTAGCATTGATAAAGCCTGGCATTCCATTGGTCAGGTAATTGACACGGCTACTGGCAACAAAAAGTATGAGATTCTTGCCTTTGTGATGAAAGGTATTTTGGCAATGCTGACTGTGAGCCATTATTTTAATAGTAAGAAAAAACAAACCTGAATCAAGATCTAACATGGCTATTGACACTCTAAGCAACCTTCTTGTTCATAAGCTCTTTAATAGAGCTAAAGCTGCACATGGCTTAACTTTACAGCCAAGTAATGAATTGTTGAAAAAGGCAACGACAGAAATAGATTGAAATTCACCTGTAATGTAACCAATGATTTGTTGATGTTTAAGACATTAAATATAAAAAGACAAAAACTGATAATTTGTTGCAATTTGTTTTGTTTTTTTTTTTTATTGAAATCCTGTTTCTATTATTTTTTATTATGATGATCTACTACAAATGTAATCCAAAACAGGTAAGTTGATATTAATATTTTTACCATAACCATACTGATTATTATCTTGTACTAATAAATGAAAAATTTTTATATATTATTTATTATATATTTTTATATTTTATATTTTATTATTATATTATATATTTTACTGTCCGATCACATTGGCACCATATGCTTATGAAAAAAAATTGTTTTCCGATAGCGATTTAACATACTCCCCTCAAATTCACAAAACTCCTCTCAAAGGGTTTTCAGACTCCTCTTGTTGGCCTTATAGGGTTGGCATGTCTGCATTATCGCCTTAATCCTTACAAAGTAATTGGAATCAACCTGAAATGAAACAGAACTCAAAACAAGTTTCTACTACTCTTTTTCAGTAGACGTTTAATTTGGATTTGGATACAGGCATGAGGGAATTTCATAGTTTTTCACTTGTCCTGAAGACAATTTTACTTGTCCCAATATTATTGTGCAATAATCATAAAAAATAACACAAAGTAAGTATTTTTGCTATGGCCCTACAGCATTAATGGGCCTACATGCATATGGCATTGATCACGCAACAATGTTTTTCTTTTTAATCCAATTATATTTCTTTTTTTAATTTGATAGAATTTCAATAATGTATGATAATGGAGAAATTCAAATAAAATAAACATTATTAATAATATTATGTATGTTGGAGTGTGTTGATCGTTTTCTTATTGCGTGTTTAAAAGCCGTCGTCACGACAACTGCAAGTAAAAGATTCTCAGGCATGGTTGATTCCCATGATACACAATACTAAATACTAAATTCAAAATGTTTCTTTTTGTGGACTATACAAACAAAATTCATATTGCACAGGAAAACCCCTAGGAAAATAGATGCCCAGAATTGTAAGTACTTGTGTTCCTACTATGAAGGCCTCAATTTTCTGCAAAAATATTCGTGGAAATCGGCTCATATTTTCAAAATGCAGCGACAAATTTCTGGGCCCAATATTTTACAGCTTCACACATCCTGATTTTATTTATTGTATAATAAATAAAATTGCTTACCTCTCAACGAAAGAAAAGCCTAAACCCTTAAGATTTGGATTTTATATGCACATTATCTCCATCACTTAGAAGTGAATGATATTTTAATTATTCTAACAACTTTAAATCCCAATTTAATTACCCCTTATTAGACTGTCTAGTTTGCCTTTCCCACACGCGCAAACACATTTTTTAAGGTCAGCCTAATGGCCGCTGTTCATATTCGTACTCGAAAGTAATTACTAGTCTTGACTAATCAACTAATGGCTGTGTGCCCAAAGTCTTTAAATATGTCTGGTATTTATAGACTAGACCAGTGCGAATTTATATTGTAAACAGACCGTGTGCAGCAGGCCTAAACGGCTGACAGCTAACAGGTATATTGTGCGAAAATATATGCCTGCTGTGGGACTTACGACAGATCTGGTTAACATTTAACAATAAAGAATTCATTTTCAATTTTTACTGCAAAAAATAAATTTAATATTGAGTTAGGCCTACATTTTTTCTTTTGAACCGTCCATAAATCACGCAGTGCAGTGCGTAACCATGGCCTAGTCTCGGTTTTATGATCGATATCTCCTTGTGCGCCGACAACTTGTTAATAAAATAGACTTTTTATAAATACTGTGAAATCGTTACGCATTACTTGGTTAAGTAGCCTATTCTAAAAGTGCTTGTCCACAGACAAGTGGTCCCTGAAATTCTTGTTGTCCGACCGTAAAAAATACTTGTGTCGGGCAAGTGGATTCGCTCATGCCTGCGATAATATTTTTAGATTCATCAGTGTAAATTACATATGCAAAGCTTCAAGACACTTTTAAAAATATGTTGCTAATTTAATTGCGGAAGAAATTTGTAGAGAATAAAATTTAAATTTATTTATTTAGATTTCACCCTAAAATAAAATTACGAGGGTTTCTTATTTGTTTTAATAAATCTGTTTGATTAAAATTCCTTGCCTTGGAATAATGCAATGATCACACAGACTAAGAGTTGATTAAGACTGTTTCTTCCTGTAAGTTAAAATTCTAGGTTATCATCAATTAAGGCATTCCAATCCCATAATTTTAACTGTGGTTATTTGATGTTTTATGTCCTCTTCAAAATTTGTGAATCTAACCTACAGGAGTATAAATTAATCAATCAGTTATATAAATCAATCTTTCTCTATTTTAACAAAAATTAGAAATTTTGCCTTTGTAGCCTAAATTTCCCCCAAAATGAAATTTGAGCAAATTGTAAGAAAGTAGGGAATGACCCGGTGTTTTATATTCTGTTTATTACTGTATTAGGCTATTCACCTCCTAATGGACTTTGGAATGACCCGGTGTTTTATATTCTGTTTGTTATTGTATTAGGGTATTCACCTCCTAATGTCTTTTGGAATGACCCGGTGTTTTATATTCTGTTAATTACTGTATTAGGTTATTCACCTCCTAATGTCTTTACCGTCTGACTTCTGGAGAGCCTTCATAAATATTGACACAGAAAATGTTCATGGAGGCAGCAACAATATCATAGCCAACAACAATGCTGGAACCCCTGGGGAAAACTCAGGTAAGTTGCATTTTGTATCTTATTTTGTATGTTTGTTTGTTTTATTCGTTTTTCCAAACACAACATAAAAAGTACAGTGAATGCAAACTTAACTTATATTACAAAAGTAGAAAAACAAAATTTCATATGTACTGTAAAGCTGGGCTTATGTCGCGTAGAACTAGTTACCGAGAGCGCTTATGTCACCGCCGACTAACGGCAACTACTAACAACTGGTTACTAGGTAACCACTTTGCCGAGGAAAATTTGTGTTCACACGTGATTAAACAAACATGAATACACACTGCCGGCCACATCAAATTAACAAGGAAACTACTGCTTACAAATAAAATACTGTATATGAACTAATCATGTAAATATTATGTTAGTATTATATCAATAATTAATTATTGTACATTTAATGCGCATGAAGACACAGAAAAGAGGAAGGCAGCTTAGAATTGACATGTTGACAAGAACGCGAAGCCCCGCCCACAAAGTCATGAAAACCTTAGACAATGGCGGCTAGACTTAGCTTGTTGGCGAACATTTTTTTGCTATCAACCTTCTTTAAGAAAAAGAATTCAGGTAGGCAGTATGCAAATGAATCATATATTCATAGTGTTAATCTATTTCGTGGAACAGGCGGGGTAAAAGCCTCTGTATTTCGCTCCCAAATGAAGAGGGAAAGACGCATTCAGTCAACCTCATTGTCGGCAAATGTAAAGTCACTGATGCGCACTGCTCGTGTCAATCTTGGTATCTATCAAGCACAGACATCTAGGCCTAGGTTCATGTATGTTTCGCATTGACAACCAGCTGTCTAAGGAAATTAAAATGTCTGAGAAAAAGTTTTTGCTCACTTGACTAAGTGACGCTCGCTAGTCGTCCAAAACCCGATACACAAACCACAAATACATTTTTAACACCCCAAAACACAGAAACAGCACCGTACTCTCCAAATACGTATGGGTATTAAAAGACAGCAACACATCCTACAATATCAAATGGTCTATTATCGACAGAGCATCGACTTACTCCCCAAAAACAAAACGCTGCAACCTAAAAAAAAAAAACTTCACATAATATATTCAGACAAACAGTCAATACTAAACAAAAGAACCAAGCTTTTGTCTAAATGCAGGCACAACAACAAATACCTACTTAAAAACAATTAACTCATTTGCATTTTTACCTGCCTTACCATTCATATACTCACACAATCCTTGTATTCTCTCACTCCTGAAGATTGCATTAGCATGAAACAGTCTGTAGAGTGATTATACCCAGTTCTACAAGTTCTACATTTTCAATAAATATATATATGGTATAAGAGACAGATATATATATATATATATATATTCAAAATGTATATATATATATTCAAAATGTATAAATAAAAGCAGAAATCCTACGTCTATATAACCATAATAGGCATATATAAATTATTATAAAAACAATGCATGTTGTTATCAAAATGAAAAAAAAAGAGAATAATATGCCAATAAATAATTGACTACCAATTTGCTATAAATACCTTTACATTTAGAAATTATAATATAATTATAAATTATATTTATTATAGTTGTATTATAATTTGTACCTAAAAAAATCAATTTGCAAATTTGTTTAACCTACTGTTAAAAATAAAACATGTTGCACAGACTTCCCTCAATTTTATAAACTAAGCTAGTCTAGATAGGCTAATACTGTACTAGTTATGGCTAAATATTTTCAATCAGTCTTGTTTCCATGCTAATTAAACTTAAATTTTGCTAATCACATTAATATATATAGGTGTAATTTTGCCCTACCTGACGTGGAAATGTACCGAATACTCAGTACGATTGAAAACAATTGCGAAAAAATTGCAAGTTGTTCTTGGGTGGGGTAGGTTGTCCAGATGATCACTCATGACTGTTTTTTTAATTTATATTTAGTTCCATCAAGTATGTTGGGACCTGTCCATACACCTGGCAAATCATACCATGTACAGTTACTTGCCTAAGTCGAGTTAGCTTATTTCTTATGGGTAATGTAAGTAATGATATATACAGGTACAGTATTAACTCTGTGGCTTGTGTTAATAAATACTGCTTTTTTTACAATGTTGCTCATATATATACTATATTAAGTTTACTGTAAAATATGAATTTAACCATCATGTCACATTGAACTGAATTTCAAAGTAGATCAAGTTTAACTATGTCAATGTTCTGAATACTTTGATAAATATATTTAGATTTGTTCTCAATGCAATGGAAGGTTGATGGGAACTATACTTCATGTGATAAATATATATTATATGGGGAGTATGCTGGTGTATAGGAAAACATTGACCATTGATAACTAATTATCCATATATGGAGCAAGTGAATGACCATAAACGTTTGACCATATTGGTGACTAAATAACCATATGGAGTAACTGAATGACAATTACATTTTGTAAACATGCAGAATCCTTAAAAAGTTTTTGTAATTCAGTGTTTAATTTGTGAATAAAGTTAATACCTGTATGCTTGAATAATTAAGATTTGTTGTATTTTTTCTCAATTTTATTTTAGGAAGGCTAAGATATGCAAGTTGTATACGAAATTGAATAAAGTTAACAAAAAAAAAATGACATTACAGTAATTTCTTTTTGCTCCCTATTTACAGTAATTGCCATGATAGTAGAGGACCTGACAAGATTTGTATGCACTTCATTTAGGAGAGAATTTCTCAACTGCTATAGACTAATATGAACCCAGGAATAACATGGGATGTGTGCCAAAATCTCTATCCGGGACGAACAGCCCGAAAATGACCACGCCCTTAATTAAATGACCACGCCCCCTTTTTATAGGGTAGGGGTATTTTGAAATTGAGCTAGACGGTATAAGAAAATAGCAAATGAAGTGGTTTTTGTTCTAAATGAGCACACATGACAAGAGGATTAAATTCCTAAAATTACGTCTCCGTCACATTTTAGTTAATATGCAAATTAGCTTGAATATGCAAATTGGAGTGAAAAAATAGGGTTCCCATGTGCAGAGAACCGCTGGTCGTAGCGAGTTGCTTTCTTTTTAAAATTGTTTGGACCATGCATATTTCTATTTGTTCTAAGGTGAGATTTGCTTAAAAAATGACCGGAAATGCCATATTTGACCTTTGACCCTATTTACAAGTTTCCCATGTCTACTGACTGTAAAAACTTGGTTTTGGTTTTATTCATTTACTCAGTGAATGGGTTTTTACAACAGTCCGAGGGACCGTTGGTCCGACTTTGTTACCTTTTTTCCAGGAATGCAGGTTATACGGCTGTAAAACAATTCCTTACAATTTATGGAGTAAATTAAGAAAGATCACTTTTTTAAAACAATATTCCAAAATATTTTCCCTAACAACATGTAAGGCCAAGTAAAAAAAAAAAAAAAAAATGCTAGTTTCTTGTTACCTCCCGCATCCATTTTCGCTGCCTCACCATTTAAGAAAATATATATAATTTCCTTTACGAAATGTACGAAAATCTGGCTAACTCACATCAGTAAAATTCCTCTCTCTATCGTGGATAGGGAGAGGTTCCCAATGAGAATTTCAGTTGAACTATTACCAGTAGTATTATGGATTAAAACTACTACTATGATACGATTCATGTCTAGTGCATCTTTTGCTTTTAATGTGCAGTAGGGGGACACAGGGGTAGGGAAAAATTTCCATTAGAAAATTTGTTGCCCCCCCCCCCACAGAAGAGTAAAAAAAAACACAATTCGTCGGGGAGAAAAAATATATATGTATTTTTTACATATTAGTAGACTATCTATTTAGAATCGATTGAACAAACCCTCTGAAACCCCTAAATTGTCACATTTTCCGGGGATCCGCCCCATGGACCACTTTCGAAACATTTTAATTGACACCCGACCACGCTCACTTTTTTCTCGTCGGGGAAAAAAAAAATCATACCTTGCCCTTCATTTCCGTCCCCGCCCCCGATGCTTTCGCCGCCACTTTTAATGTGTCTACTTAGTAAAAGTAAAAAAGTAGTTAACTCCCATCGGCCATAAGTATATAAAGTTGTTAAGATTTTCCAAAGACTAGATGGAAGTTACTTGAATTCCCCTATTGTTATTAAAATCTTTTCTGTCTCCTGCTTCAACATTAGGAAGTTATACTTACGCTCCATTCACTTGGAATCTTTTCAATTTCTAATAATTTTTTGAAAATATACGTAAAGAGAGCTGACAAGTCATGCTAGCAATAACTGTATATTGTTAGCCAATATAGACTACGTGGTGGTCCCGAACATGTGTTTTCTTCAAATATATTTTGTCTGTATTTGAATTAATTACTTCGGACCAATGGACCTTCAGACCAAAGGTCCTTCGGAACAAAGGACCTTCGGACAAATGCACTGACCCCCAATCGCCACCCTTGCATTTGCTTGCAACACTTTATTCTAGCTCTTCTACAGGGACACGAATTTGGCAGGCCATCAGGTTTCGAGATCACAATATCAGGGACTAATAAACTGCCACTCCTTACAAAACCAAAATTCTCAGCATTGATAATTGATGTGGCATCTCTAAATGGGGCTTTAACCCACAGCTGCTGTAGCTTCTTGTTTTCTTGCATTAGTTGAGGTACAAGCTGTTCTCCCAAAGTCCATCTTGGGGGTATTGTTATCAAATGCAGCAAGGCGCAGATCGTCAATGTCTCCAGGTCTGTTGATGGTTTAAAACAGGGGTGG